TCCGCGAGGAAAAGAAATGGCTCAGAGCCTCAGAATACTGAAACCTGTATTTTTTTTTCCTTCTAATTTGTTATTATTTGGTGCAGGCACGAAACATACTACCAATAGAAATACATTGCTTCTAAAATCGTTCTGTGTCAGAATACTGAAATCTGTATTTTTAAAAATCAGTTTTTCCTTCGAATTTGTTATTATTTACTTTGCTTTTAAAATCGTTCTGTGTGAAACGAAAAAAATGGCGAAATCGTGTTGGTGAACACGAATCAATAGATTAATTTTGTGACTATAACACGAAATGCTGTGAGACTGAGTTGGAAAGAAAGACTTGCTCAAATACTTAATAAAACCTATTTGCCATTTATAAAGTTTCTTATTTAGTCTCATCTGCCAGATCTGATTAAATATATAACGACCTTGATGCTCCTTCTATATTTCCATCTATTATGTTTATTTTTTTACTGTTTTTACAGAATAGTTTTCTTGATCTGCCTTCGCATATCTCCTGATAAAGAAGCACTTTGTAACTTGCTTTCAGATGTGCTGCATATATCATTCATAACGAGATGTTGATGTTGTTGCATTAATATAAGATGTTAAAATCCTAACAACCCTGCTGTGTATTTTACACAAGTCATTTTAATTTCAATTCAGTCAGCAATCACAGGCCTCTCCTTCCCCCTTTATGATTGAAATTCCACGGCATGGCTTACAGAAATTCACTTCAAATGCAACTAATGATTTTACTCATTCATGCAAACATATTATGCATTTCCATCTCCTATCTGCCAAGTTTCTTTAAGCTTTGAAGTGCACAAACCCTTCAGTTTGAGCCTCAAACTAGCACATTTATTTTATGTATGCATTTGCCTGTAGTAAACACATTCATTTTCTATTTGATTCAAAGGTATTTACACGCTTTATATTTCCTTTCAGAACATTCCAATTTCTTTCCGTTCTGTTGATTTAGCATTCACAGAAAACCCTGGTGTCTGTGGAAGTCATAGTGTCGATAGCACATTGAATTGCTTTGCTTTCAATAATGTAAGGCCTTTTTTTAACAGATATCTTGCAAAAAAAGACACATTTTACTGCAGGAATAAATCCACAAGTTTTCCTTTTTCATTGTTTTTGCATCTGGTTCTTTCCCTGTGTTCTTTGCAGTGCAGTTCCTTTGTGTTTCAGTGTTATGTAAGACTGAAAGAAGCCGAAGTGCTGAGCTAATCAGACGCTGGCAAAAGTTATTCGAAGCGCAGGTTGACCTGAATCTCATTTCATAGGCTTACATCGTTTGTCGTCATGAGGCATTCCTCAAAACTTTTTTCAGGGAACGCTTGAGCCACTCCTGCTAGATTACAGATACATTGTTGTCCAGTAGTATCCTTCAGGTACAAATCACATAGAAATCATTAATGCAGTTATTTATCTCAGTGAGAAAGTCTGCAATTGCTGCTGTTGTGTCAAATGTTTCATCTATTAAAGAGGACCTATAGTGACATGTCTCCATGCTTTAATGTTCAAAAAGCTCTTTATGTTTCTCATATACTGCCTGTGCTGCAGCACCTCTTTTCACCCTCCGTCTGAAACCAGAGCCCAGTCTGCGCTGATTGCACACAAACATGCACACAAACATATACTACAGGAAAAGGGAAAACCCCAAAAAGTACTTAAACTCAAAAGCAATCTTACTTCTTGTGCATTGTACCTTAAGCAAGAGTCACAGCTATGACCTCTATGCTGTGAAATCCTGTTATTTCTTCACCTCAAAGACTGAGGCTAGCTTCATGCGCAGCATCAAGTCAGAGGGTTTGTAATTATTAATACGCCATATTTCATTTGAGGCAGGAGTGAAAACATTGCGCAAAATAAAAGGATTGAGGCAGTGGAAAATGTATCTTACCTGCAGCCATTATTGCAACCTCAGAATATAAACGAGGAGAATAAACATTGAGATTCATGCTGCGCAGTAAAAGATGAATACCATTCGTTCACTCCCGACCTTGGCTTTGATGTTCAGGAATGAGAGCAAGGGAGAATTTCTTCATGGTAAAAACGTGCTGTTGCATCAAAACCATCCACACAAATGACTGTTTGCAAAAAGATGTAATGGATTTTCTGAATGCGTCGGACAATCTGATGTGAGGTTTGACAAAACGGATGATTGGTTTCTCTCTTGGTGATTGTAAAGAATGTTATTGTCGGAGATTGAACACAGTCTCACACAGAATACAAGAAAGAAAGAGAAACTGGAGCAGACTTGACCTTGACTTTGATGTTTAATGACTCAATTGCTGGTTTCGGCCTACAATAAGCAGAGAAACAGATTTTCCTCTAGATCTTTTGGCCTTAAATCTAATTCTACACACACACACACACACACACACACACACACACACACACACACACACCACACACACACACACACACACACACACCACCACACACACACACACACACACACCACACACACACACACACACACACACACACACACACACACACACACACACACACACACACACACACACACACAACAGCTTATAAAAACATAGGATTGAGCACAAGGGAGAGAAGACACAAGAAAGATGAAGTGAGAGAGAAACTAAGACAGAAAGAGGATTACTCTGCTCTTGCCTTTGTTGCCTCGACCAAAGGAGGTTATGTTTTCCGTTTGGTTTGTTCCTCTGTTTGTGAGCCGGCTTACAGAAAAACTACTTTTCATGAAACTTCTTCTAGTTTAAAGTGCTCCTATCATGCTTATAGAAATATACAAAAACATGCCTATGTGTTTTGCTCAAAATACAAACAGATCATGCATTTTAGAAATCCCTCATACCCCTCTATTCTAGCCCTGTTTAGAGAAACAACGATTTTGGGTCCTTAGCTTGAAAAAAAGAAGAAGATGCGGAGCTAATGCCTGACCAGAATTCTACCGGAGATTTAAATTCTGCTGTGATAATACACCATCCTGTTCTAAACCACATCAAAGATTATTTCTGAAACAGTATGGAGCTCAAATAATTTTTCTCTTGCGGGTTTATCACAAGGTGAGTTCCTTTTTTTATTTCCTGCTTTTTAAACACATGTGCTCTCCAGCAGGTTAGCTCTGAGCGAGGCTTGCTAATGTAAACAAAACGAGATTACGTCCAAAACACGTCAGGCATTGTTTCTGATAGCAACTCTCTGTGGGTCCGCCATCTGAAATTACGTAATATCGGCAGCAAATCTGTATCCGCTCGTTGTACCCCCATTTTTAAAAGAGGGTTGAGGGTTTTATTTTTTGACGCGGCATGAGTTCCCCGACACACGGGGGACGACGACACACACACACACACACACACACACACACACACACACACACACACACACACACACACACACACACACACACACACACACACACACACACACACACACACACACACACACACACACACACACACACACACACACACACACACACACACACACACACACACACACACACACACACACCACACACACCACACACACACACAACACACACACACACCACACACACACCACACCACACACACACACCGAAGACTAGAAACGGTTTTGAAAACTTTTGTCACGTAGTGATCGTCTTCTCAATAGAACATCTTTGATAATGTCTTCTGGCCAATCAGAATCAAGATAACGGCGTGGTGTTCTTGCAGGAAGTCCCGACGGAGAATACTTTTGCTGTAGTACATCTCTATATACATCGATACAACATTACGTGTTGATAGAAATCAACGCGTAATGAAATAAGACCCCACGGTTTGATGATTGATAGGTGTGTGGGCTGTCTTTCATTTTGACACACAGAACAATGGGGACTATCCACCCTTATCCACAATGTAAAGTAATTCACACAGCCTCTTCTCTCAGTGAGGAGCAGCAGGTTCAGCTTTCAGAACAAAGTAACAAAAAACTAAAATGACATTCATTTTTTTAAATATGTCGTGTAGTAGGCTAATAGATTTATTTATTTTTCTTCTCAAGAGAGTACCAGAATGTGTATTTTATGTTAGTATTTCAAAAAATCTCCTGGGGGAGAATCCCCCCCATGCAGACCCCCCTGCAGGAGTTGGGTTTTCAGCATGTCAACTCTTTTACCTGTGGGGAAATAGCAGGATTGGCTCCAGGTCGCCCTTTTTATTTACTACAAGACAAATGTGCCTTTTTATTTCATACAGTTCCATTTGGATTGAGACAGGGAAATAATCTAAACCTCACGCGTGAAGTTTCACTGTCAAGGGGAGCGTGTAATTACATTGCAAATACTGACTTGAGCCCCACCACTGTATGGGTTAGCCCAGGGGTCTGCAACCTTTTTGACCAAAAGAGCCATTTTGCTCCTTTTTCCAAAACATTTTTTTGTCTGGAGCCGCAAAACATATTTCATAGTTTTTTATTGTTATATCAGACAAAAACTACAGTTTTTTGCATTTATTAGGCTATTTATTACATGATATAAAACTGTTAACCTCTAATAAGAAACAAAGAACTCTTATAAGGAGAATTACAAATAATACACAGGCCTACTTTAAAATAAATTAAACACAGCACTTGGGGAGTCCTCTGCACGTTTGAAGGAAAAAAAAATATTATTAAAATGGGCCCACTTTGAAATAAATAAAACATCTAGCTGCACCCTAAAAATAGTTAAAGGTAGGGTAGGTAAGAATGGAGAAACCAGCTCGAGTGCGCTAGAATTTGAAAGTACACAACCGGAAAAAATATGCCTCTTCCTTCAGACTTTCTTACAGAGTCCCTCCTCCAACACACACGGAAGGCTGACAGGCAGGTAGGCCTTCCAGTTATTTCAGCCGGGCCGGCTCAGATGATTGGTCGTGCTTTTTACAGCGCTACGGCTTCCAGAGATTAATTTTGGTATGTATTTATTGTCAAAGCATGTAATATATTCATTGCTATCGGGACGTTAAGAGCATTCCATGGAATATAACAAAAAGTGTTTTCTGAAATAAATTACATACCCCATTGAATTATGACTGAAGATCGTCAGCTGTCTTCCTCTCCCTTGTTGTTCCTCGATACGTAAAGGCTGCACCACCATTGACAACTTCTCTCTACATATCAAACATACCGGTAAACCAGCATCGTTTGCTGTGAAAGCATATAACTCTGTCCACACAGAATTAAATCCTGTGTTCCTCCGGTACTTTTCTTTGATTTATCCATAGTTCGCTCAATGAGCCGGGGGTCAGGTTATTCGCCTCCAAGAAAAGGCGCTCGCGCGGGACCGTAGCAGGATGTGACTTATATTTTAGTTGACCTAATTAAAACCGTTTTGTTTTTTATTTATGTGTCACAGTATCACCTCAAAATACAAGATACGAAACATTTTCAACCATGAAACAAAATATAAATAGTCCTACAAATACTTTTATTTTATTCCCTTCTTATTTTTGTCTAGGGCTCAAGGGAGCCAGAGCAGAGGGCTTAAAGGGCGGCATGAGGCACGTGGGCCGCGGGTTGCCGACCCCTGGGTTAGCCCTACCATAGCTTACCCAACAAAAATACTCTGGAGCCGCAACTGCCGACCCGTATTGCGCATGCGCAGATCTAAGATCCAGTAGAAATTATAAAAAAGTAAAAGTCTGCTGCTTATTGTTCTAGGCCAAAATAGAGTCAAAGAGTATATGAGAGTGAGAGTGTGTTAATTAATATATTTGGCAGTTTGGAGTAAGTCTGTAGATTTGTTTGTGTGTGTGTGTTTCATGTATAGGCCTCTCACGATAATTAATTTTGTTGGATACATTTTCCCGGAAATTATTGTCGGCACCGTTGTATGACCATTTAGACCACTGACATAATGATAATATATAATAATAATTCAAGTACATCCTTTCAAACTGTTAGTCACATCCTCATGTAAATGGCAATTTATCGAGTTCATTTTTATTTATCGTACGATAAGTCAATTAATTGCTTATCGCGACAGGCACACAATAAAACAGTGGAAACAAACATGTGTTTGACTTTCATTAGTCAAGGAAACTGTGTGCCCTTTATAGTCTGTGTCCAATATTGTGTATTTGTATATATTGTATATATATCTTATATATATGCTAAGGTCTCGCTGCTGACACGATAGCAGTCATTTTGTGCGCATATGTGTAATTAAACCCATGATATCAAAATCTCACTCCAGCCAGGTGCCCAAAGTTGGCAACCCTGCACACACACACACACACACACACACACACACACACACACACACACACACACCACACACACACACACACACACACACACACACACACACACACACACATTTATGTATAAAAGACATAAAAAAGTGCATTTTAAGATTAAATCAATGATCAAGCAGGGAGACAGATGGTTGTAAGAATGGATGTATTTCTTATACAGGCTTAAAATATCTCATTAATTGAGTAAAGGTTGTTTCATTTGTTTTCCTCAAAAGCTCACGGGTATCTCATGCATTTTTCACGACTATAACCCTGTAAGAAATTAATGATATTCCACATGACTTACATTTGAACTGATCTCTCCCTGAGGGACTGTAAAGCAGCAACAGTTTTGACATAATGCTGAGGAACATTTGACTCATACGCACGCATGAGGTTTTAGAAGCTAAAAGGGCCAATGTGTGCTCAAAGAGAAGAGAGGCAATTGCTTGGAATAAATTTGACCTGACAAGGAGAAGCGTTTCTGGAAAACTCTTTCACACTTGTGCAAATAGTAGTCGAGTAACGGTGTGTGTGGAAAGAGGTTCAGAGGCAAAACAGCGAAAGTGAGGTATAGTGGATTTAAAAAGAAAGGGTTAGGCTGTAATCTGGGCTTTAAGGCTTCCCTTGGTATTAAGGGACACTTACTGTATTAGATTGGAGCGGTGAGCGTTTTCTCCTCGGATGCAGAGACTAATTGGATGTCACCAATTCAGAAAGTCTGACGTTGTCATGACGCAGGAGTCAGGACGGAGGATAGAGGATGACACTCGCTGGCTGAGAGCAATGGAAACGGCATTAGAAGCAATGAATAGAGGTGGAGGCAAACCAGGGAGCAGAAACACACACTCATCACGCACGCACACACACACACGCGCACACACACACATGAACTCTTTTGCAAACACACATGTACACATACGGACATGCATGCACTTTATGGAGTAACATACACACACACACACACACATACACACACACACACACACACACACACACACACACACACACACTCATGTAGAGAGGTGGAAGAAGTATTTATGCAGCACGTTTCAACATTTCAAGGGAATTTAAAGTGCTTTACAAAGAATATTAAATGCATAAATACACAATGTAACAGAAACACTTTATAAAATGACACATAAATACATTTAAAACCATTAAAAAGATACAGAACAATCTCAAATAAAACGTAACTCTTACTAAGTGCTGCTTCAAGGAGCAATACTTTAATCGGACAAATTTAAATTTAAATTAAGTAGAATGACAGAAAAATGTACTTGAAGTATCAAAAGAGAACCCGTTATGCACCATCGCTCTTTATATGGTCATTTAATATTATATTATTCTGTTTCACAATTACAAATATACATATAACAACATTTAAATCATGTTGAGCCAACTTTAGGTACTTCAAATACTGGGCATATTAGGAGCTACTTTTACGTTTTTAGTTAAGTATTATTGCCAATATTCTAACTTTTAAAAAAAAGAAAATAATGCTGAGGTTTTAATTGAAAAATGTATTTCTTATAGAGTATTATTTAAGTAAATGATCTGAATAGACATAATGTAAAAGTGAACACAAGTTTTTGAGCTCTCCAAAAATATAAAATGAATATTCAAAAGCTATTTCAAGTTTTTTTTCTGATGGATATCAAACTCCACAGCTGACGTTAAATAGACCAGACTTCTTTCTGCGGACTCTCCTTAGCAACAGTCAGTTCTCCTTAGCAACGGTCTATGATCGAGTGTTAACAACATTCTGGAATGTCCAAATTGACCAATCAGAATCGAGTATTCACCCAAGCTTTGTAATACATTATAATAAAACCGTTTTTTATATGTAGAGGTATTGACTGTGCATGTCGAATACATGTAGTGGAGTAAACAGTACAACATGTTCCCTTAAAATGTAGCATAACATAAAATGGAAATGCGTTTGACAGATAGTACCTAAGCACAGTATGTTTTGTAAACATACCAATGTATTTTCTGCTGTTAACCCACTACAGAGTGAATAATAGGAGTAACATGCTCAGGGATTGATACGTCTCTGAGGTTTGGCATGAGCAACACGTCTGGAGAACGAATGCTTTGCTGTAATTAAATTCCTCCACTGCCTCAGAAAATCAGTTGACTTACTCTGCTGCAAGAGCTGTGAGGCAACCAGGAGGAAAGAAAATAAAAAAAGGTGCGAACAAAAGGGCAGAACAGATAGAGGATGGATTGGAAGCAGATAAAAGATTAAAAGGTGGAATTGAGGAGAAAGAAAACGTGAGTTCAGTGCAGAAGTTTCCTCAGGGGGGAATTAATCCTGTGAGTTAATGTGATGTGGTTTTAAATTCTGTGGTTTCACAAGGTTATATTTCACTCTTTAAATTCATGTTGTGCATGTTCCCTGCCTGCAGACCTAATAAATGCTGCATTCATTTCTGGATGGGAATGAAAAGGAGTGAGTAAGCTGGTGTGTTTCATCACTGATCTGTCAATGCCTTATATAGCTTCAGCCTTGACAATAAAAGCGTTAATTAACTAATTTTACTGCTGTAAACATCCTGAGAGCTTTTAACGGAGACATCTGCTTGAAGAAGTGATCAACATATTTGCCAAAAACACATTTTAGTGCACATGTGTCAAACTCAAGGACCGGGGGCCAAATCCGGCCCTTGGTGGATTTAATTTCGGCCCGCAGGATAATTTATAATTCCTATTAGATCTGGCCCGCCGGTATATTGCACGCACACCTTCACTCCATCCTGAGGGTCTCCTCCGCTCAGAGCCTGAGCCCAAACATTGATGACCTTGCCCCCAAGATGAGATGCCAAGTATCTGAACTAGCTTCACAGAGCAGCACACTGAGTTTACATGGATGTTTCCTTCTGCACTTTCTCTCACGACAACAGGGCATGTTTGGTTTGTTCTTTGAGGGAAATAGTTTTGTTGAAGCTGTTGTTGGCCTGTGGAAAAATGTAATCATAAGAAATGAAGCTGCAGATAGAGCCATAAGAAATGAATGCAACTGATTATTTAATGTTTCATGTTGTTTTTATAGGCAATCATTTAAGCTTGGTTAGTTCCAGGTTTAATATGTGCAATAAGTTCATTTCAATAAGTTCTGCAATAAACATTGAACCAGTCCGGCCCTCAACTAGTACCCATTTATTTTATTTTGGCCCACTGTGTATTTGAGTTTGACACCCCTGTTTTAGTGCAACCAAACACGGTTTAATACACTTTTAATCCTGTTTTTCTGCCTTTCACACACCTTAATATACTGCTAGTTAACGAGATGATTGCTTATTTATATGTTTGTGTCTTTGTCCGCATCTGTTCTGCTTCATTATTCAGTCCCATGTGTATATAAAGCAGGAAACAGCCCTAGGCTAGCTAAACATCCCATTTCCAGGCCACAGTGCAGTGATGTACTCATTAATACTTTACAGAGACTATATAACAATGCGATGGCAGTGATTGCTGCTCTTAGGCAGTCATTAAAACAAAGGAAGTGGAAGGATATGCATTGTTATAGATCCTATATGTTGTGAAAGGCTGTTAGATAATCAAATCAACATCATGAGGAGCTTTCAAATCTGAAAACAAACCCTGTGAACCTGCAGAGCTCATTTAGTGTCTGATGGTACGTTAATGTCTAACTCTACATTAAGCCTCGTAGAAACCAGAAAATATGATCTGAATAGTCCGAGAGTATTATTATAATCAGAGGGGGGAAGTAGTGTAGTACAAATACTTTGTTACTGTACTTAAGTACATTTCTCTGGTATCAGTACTTTACTCCACTTCTTATTTTTCTAACG